AAAAGACTGGACAGACTTCAGCTGCTGTTTCCTCCTGGAGAGAATCAGGGCTCACATAGATCAGGGAAGAGGAGTTGGGGCAGTCTTCCTGCTCAAAGCCTTCGACACGGTTAATCACCAGATACTTCTCAACAAACTAAACGACTACGACCTTTCCACGCTCACCCAAAACTGGATTAGGTCATATTTGAGTGTTTGGATTCAGTGTGTCCGGGTGAATAACTCTATCACCCTTTAAAGCCGCCTCTGTGGGAGTGCCCCAGGGCTCCATCCTTGGACCTCTGCTCTTTAGTATTTATATAAATGATCTCACTCATGTGTGCATTGATGTTGATATAATCATGTGTGCTGATGACACTCTGCTTTTTACTGACAGGAAAATGAATTGGAAGAAACAGAAAAATGGAAAATGTTGCAAACTGGCTTCAGAATTTCTGCTTTACCTTAAATATTGATAAAACAGTTTCATTGTTTTTTTTTTACCAATAAATGTAAATCCCACAGACTCATGAAATTTTAGTAAATGGACAAAACATCAGGAATGTGGATGAATTTTAAATATTTAGGTTTTATTCAATTTTAAACATTTTATAAATGAGATAAAAAGCCTCGTCTGCACCACCACTGTTCAATACTTGTCAAATATAAACAGTTAAATGTGGATAAGTTGCTTAAATTCAATCAGATGTTAAACTTATTTAAAATGATTCATAATTCAGCTGCTCGTCCAGTGAGAAAGTTTGTGGTGTTCAGTTGAGCTCAGAGCTGCAGAGCCACACGGTCCACAGCCAGAGGAGAGCAGAGTTCCAACAGCAGAACCTCATGTGGTCAGTCTTCATTCTCCTGTAGAGACAGAAACCTCTGGAATTATCCAACCTAGTGTCTCCACTCAGTTTCATTTGTCTCCAGCGACGAGGTCAGGAATCAGAACACACTAGTTTATTTTTTTATGTGTCTTGTCCCTGATAAATAAACAAATAAACTAAACTAAACTAAACTGGACCACAGTCACTTTTGACCTCCATCTGAAGAGCTCCAACCACTGTTCTGAGGACAGTGAGAGACACATTTACCAACACACAAATGCAGTGTTGGGAAGTTTACTTTTAAAATGTAATCCCCTACAGATTACAGATTACATATCCCAAAATATAGTTTGTAACATAATCCATTAAATTACTTTAGGTGAGTAATGTAATCTGATTACTTTGGATTACTTGATTTGCTGTAGAGAAACAAAGACAAGGAAATTAACATAAGAAGTTTTATCTGATAAAAAAAAATAAAAAGCCCAAACTTTACTGAACCAAATTAAAAAATATTATTGATAGAAGACGAGGAGACATGGACCATGTGGCATGGTTTAGTCCTGTTAAATCCTGGTTTTTAGACCTGGTTTAGATCTAGTTTAGTCTTGGTTTTAGTCCTGGTTTTTAGTTTTAGTCCTGGTTTAGTCTGGTTTAGTCCTGGTTTTAGTCCTGTTTTAGTCCTGGTTTTAGACCTTGTTTTGATCTAGTTTAGACTTGGTTTAGTTTCTGGCAATAATTGGAATTACAGAAAAAAAAAAAAGAAAAGAAAAAAAAAGAGGAGGATATAGACCAAAATGTGAAAACAGGAAAATCCCACCGTGTAATCCAAAGTAACTGTAATCCAATTACCACTCACTGAAACAGTAACTGTAACTGAATACAGTTACTCATAATTTGTACTCTGATTACATAACTCCTGGTACTTGTAATCTGTTACTCCACAACACTGCACAAATGTGGTTAGAGAGAACAGTTAAAGAAGTGTTTTTATTCAGAAAAGAGAATCCATCTTTGAATAGAAATGAGGGCCTAAGATAAAACTTGTCTCTTATTTACAGCTCCCTTCATAAGTCCAAACCAAAAACAAGGAGGGCAATAAAGTGTTGGGCAGCAGGAGGTGGACGCCAGGAGGTGTGCCACAGGGCTTTATTCTGGGACCACTCCTTTTCACTGTTTATAGAAGTGCTGTGGAGCTTCATGTGACAAATGACACAAGAGTTAAAACTAAAATGTCTTAATCCTCAACTTTCTGTTGTAAGATTCTTGTTTATTCTGTAGTTCAAAAAGCTAAATGTATAAATCTTAACCATCTTTAACTTTATTATTCAGAATAAGTTGTACTTCTTTTAGGAAGAGTGGTGTTTCTTCAAAGTTCCTCCCAGTAAAAGACTCAGACCTTTCACAGACCGATGCTCCAGACCAGACCTCCTCACGATTCACAACAAACTGAAGAACTCAAAGCCCCAGAGACCTGAGGGAGGAGCCAGACTGTAAGAGAGGAGCAGACACAGACACTTGAGAGGATTTGAGCTTTTAAGATGGAGTGTGTCCTGTGTACACTGCTCTCAGCTCTGGTTGTGCTCCTGTGTTCTTCCCCAGAGTGTAAAGGAGAAGACACAGTGACCCAGCCAACAGGAGACACCTCTGACACTCAGGGACACACAGCAACAATACTCTGTACTTTTAAAACCAGTGACACAACTCAACTCTGTTCTGGTACAAACAAGAAGGACGAGGAGCTCCAAGATACATGATGAAGAAAAGTAAACTATCATCGTCATCGTGGTCTAAGACAAGTAAATCTCCAGAGTTCAATGAAAAGCATTTTGAAGTTGAAGCTGAGGGAAACTCTTTCTCTCTGAAGATCCAGGATGTGGATGTGACAGACTCTGCTGTGTACTACTGTGCTCTGAAGCCCACAGTGACAGGAAACACCAAAACTCTGAACAAAAACCTCTGGAGCAAAGACAACACAATACTGCAGTAGCTCCACTAGAGGGAGACACTCTCTGTGAAGCTTCAGACTAAACACAGACGCAGCAAAGCCAACTGTCAGTGTGAGAAACTAAGCAGACTTCAGAAAGTTCACATGAGGATCACTCAGCTGTGTTTTGGACACATGTTTCCTTTAATGGCAGCACTGCTCCTGCTTTTGTTGAGTGGTAAGTCTTATTGAAACCTATGTTCACACTTTATTACATCCACTCAACTTTTACTGAAGCACAGAGCAAGAAGCAGCAGGAAATATGTTCCTAACTTCTACATTCATTTGTTTTCATGTAGGAGTCAGATGTGAAGAGCTCACTGCTCTAAAGCCTGAGGTCTGCGCTTCAGAAGGCTCCTCTGTCTCTCTGGATACTCTTATGAGAAGAACCATCGTTCAGTGATTTTTTTCTGGTATCGACAATATCCAGGAAAACCTCCAGAATTCATGATTTCATATTCATTTGGAACAGGAAAAGATTGAAATTAAAAATCTCAAGTTTCAGTAAAAAGTAAAGACCGTCTTCTGCTCCTGTCGTCTGCTGCAGTGGGAGACTCTGCTGTGTACTACTGTGCTGTGAGGCCCACAGTGACAGCAAACCACAGTCTCTGAACAAAAACCTGTGAGAGAAAACAGCAGTACTCCACACGTCCTCTAGAGGGAGACACTTTCTGAGACTGCTCCACAAAAGCCTCCTGTGTAGAAGCT